ACAAAACATAATAAATCCAATCAAGACAAAGCAGTGAAATTGGTGCAGAACTTCAAAGCAGGATTATAGGAACACAACAATGGCTACTGTAATATGTATCCTGTTAACTTCACAATAGTTGTCCATTCCATCAGATATAGCAATATCAAACCAAAGCAAAACAGAACATTGAATAAAACAAAAAAAATTAATCATAACAAAACAAAGCGATGAGAACAATATTGGATTTCAAAAACGAGATAGAAGGAAACTCCTATACCCCCGTACTTCCCACTCTGCACACAGTTGTCCTCCCTAGAGATGCTCAGACCTCTAGCCACAGGCCTGCAAACAATGGCTTTTTGTACCTTGTTGGTATCAACTTAGCCTGTCCTCGGAACCAGCAGGTGCTTATAGGAGTGTGGGAGAGTTGGTGACTTGCAGCCCATGCACTGGTAGGCTCAGGAGAGGCACTGGCTGACTTTCTCTTTCTGGACCCTGCTTGTTGTCTGTCAAATCCTTGAGTGTTTTCTGCCCAGGTAAGATGAAAGTAATTCCTGGTGCCATAATTGATAAGGTCCAGGCAACTGTAGACCCATGACAGTATGCCAGTTACAGGTATATGTGGGCTTGCTAGGTTTCTAATGGACATTTACACTGTGCCCAGCTACCCTGCCTGGAAAGGGCACAACAGGAGCCTGGATAGATGAAGGAGAAGCTGCTTTAAAGCATTCAGAGAGAGAAGTCACACAAGCATCAGGTCCCTGGGTATTTGACCCTATGGCAGAAACCAAATAAACTGTAGCACCCTATTGGATTTTGGTCATAGATACATAAGGAAGCCCAAAGTCATTGTTTCCAACGGAGAAACAGCTGGTAGCAGTGTATGCCAGCTTATATGACCATGAGGGGATCCCAGAGCAGCAGACCGCAGAAGTGCAGTCTAAATACCTGTCCATACAAGCACATCCTGTCCCAGGAAGTGGAGTGGCCCAGGTCCACACCTTCACATGCTGGGGCTCATATTGCAGCAGCAGTCCTCCTTTTCTGCTAGCCCATAGTCAGATGAACTGGCAAATGTTTGGGGGTGTGTGATGTACATAGCTCAGGAAACACTACAGGATGGCAGGCTACAAGTCCTGACAGGCAGTCCTTATGCACAGGCAAAAGAGGAACCTCTGGCTGATGCGTGCTATATTGATAGGTGTAGCCATGGCACAGCTCCATGGCGAACAGCGGTCACTGTCCAGCATAGAACACAAATCCTCTTGTTTGAAACCAGAATAGGTAGGTTGAACCAATGAGCATATTTGCTGGTAGTGTGGCTACTTGTAGTGCATGACATATGTCTTCTACATGTCAAAATACAGCTAAGCTATAATTTGAAGGCTGATGCTTTGGTTACTAGCTTGGGTGGCTCAGTACTGGCAGGTAATGCACTGACACTTGTGGGGCACTGTCCCATGGTGAGATGTACGGGAGTGTAGCCCAACAGAGAACTGTGTAGTTAATCATGTATTGTGGCATAAGCCGCTCCTCTCCCCAGGAAATAACTTAGAATATGCTTGATGAGCGTGTCTTCCTACCCAGGGCTATTTTCTGCTGTGGCACCTTGGCTTCACAAGAAACAGGAACACATAGGACCTCATCCTATGCAAGCTGTCCTATGGTGGTAGCACTTGGAATTGACTCCTGCTGAGTTAAAGGCTGCAGTAAAGGCATGTCACCAGAGCATCCATTTGGCCCTCTGGAGAAGGAGGGTCCCATACAGCTTAGCATGATACCATGAGCACCCCACCACCTACAGCAATGGCAGGTGGGTTATCTCAGACCCCTACCTCTCTCACAGGCACATAGATAGCTTTGACTGCTGTAGATACAGCCATAGGTATAGGTTCCACCCACCCTATTCCTTCTACTGAACAAGACCATGCCATTAAGGCATTACAGTGGTTGGTGGCAGTATACGGTATGTTGCAAGGAAGTGTCTGTGCATTACCTGCCCAGGAACCCATTTCACAGGAGCTCAGATACAACAAAGGGCCAAAAACAATGATACATGTTCCTCAAAACCAAACTGGCCTACGTGCCACCAGAGTTTGTGACGTGGGTGTAGGTCTTGCTTCAGGCAGTCCAATTGCACAATGACTGGCCCTCTGTATGGATGACAGCCCAGAGTATCTGATAGCACAACTGGTTCATCTGTGCATCCATCCCACAAAGCAAGGACCTAAGGAAATAAAAAGGGCCTTAGTCCTCCCTGTGTCGAAACCCCTACAGCCAGGAGGCCATCATCAATGGACTTGAGATTGATCCACAGACCTCCTCAGGCACACCCATAGAAGCTGGGTGCCCCTCTTGGAGCCTTGTGGAGAAAGACTGAAACATACTATAGAACTGCAGCCCTGGACTTCAGCGTGGTCCTAAAGGCTTCGGTGCACTCTTCACCTGATGCCAGAGTCACCATTCTGTAAGGGAGTGATGTTATGGCTGCTTGGCCCATTCCAGGGGGAAAGTGAACCTAGCCCAGCCTCCTTTTTATCTCTGGTAGTAATGGGGACCAAGATGTGGTATTCTAATCCATGGGATTAAAATGATTACAGCCACAGTCCTATATATAGGATGAACGTGTGGCCTATTCCCTTCTGGAAGAGTGTGATCTCCCTCTAATGGTTTCTCTTTCTGCCCTGTACTTCTGACCAGGATAAGTCAGGCTGACAGTGTTGTCTCCTGGGCACAAATGTTTGCCTGTGTACACCAGCAATTGCATTGATGGGGGTGTACTGAGCTCCTGACCAACACAGCTGAGGATCCTCTGTAGAGAACTGTGCTGGTTTCCCGGCTCAACTGAACTGACTGGCAGGAAAATCGGACTAACTCTGCCTGGGATCAATGACACCAGACCATTGAGGCACTGTTCCAAAAGAGTACAACCCTCCCACAGAGACTAGGACTTGGTATGTACAATGGCTGGAAAATCGAAACTCCTATAACATGTTTAGATGTAGCCTCACTTTGCATTCAGCAGATGAATGTGTTAGTGGGAAACCAAACTGAGGCTTGGATACCCCATGAACTCTGTAATTATATACATTGCTGTCCCATGCAAACAATTGGTGGGACAACCAGAAGCTCACTGCTGTGGTAGCCACTGATTGACTCATTGCAGAAGACATATCAGTCTGTGGCCACACTGTGTGGCAGTACTTACCAGCACACTGGACAAGATGCTGCACCTAAGCATTTTCATATGTCAAGGCACTATTAGGTCTACAATTAGGATGATGCTGTGCATCATAGGTGGCACAGTACTAAATGCATGGCCTGGTAGTTTCATCCAATGGCCTTGATGTAGCCAGGGTAAAGGAATGGTTGATGCATTGTGCCAACTTGAGAAGTTTAGAAGTTTAGGCAACTAAGCAAGGAGCCATGGTTCTCACTTTATGAACATCCTGAGCATGTGCAAGAGGAAGACATGGAGATGGTGTGAGAGATACACCCATCCTGGAAGAGGTGGCACCCTGGTTACAATATAAGGGGGGATAAAGGCTTGTGTTTCTTTTTCTCAGGCTGCTTTTGCTGTCTTCAGCCACCTTCAAGTGTTGCCCCTGTGCCATGCCATCCTGCCTTGGAGCCAGCTGATTATGGACTGAAACCTCCACAAACTGTGAACTGAATAAATTTTCCTTCCTTAATTTTGGGTGTCCTATATTTTGCCTCAGCAATGAGAAAGAAAACTAGGGCAGAATTTGGTACCAGAGAAGTGGGGTCATTTCTGTGACTATAACTGACCAATGGTCAGTTAAAAGATCTTTGAGAATGGCTTGTGGGAAGAGAGGAAAGGCTGGAGATATTGCCTAAAAGGAAAATGCAGGAACAATTTAGGTTGTTCTGTATGGAAGATTCTGATCAAAGCTCAGATGATTTGAAGGTTGATAGAAACTCTGCTGGTAAACACTAGGGTAAGAAGGTTTCTTCTGAGACTGTATTGGGTGCTGGACTCCAGATGATGTATATTATTGTTTGGCAAAAAATTTGCCTGTATTTTTCTCAAATCCAGAGAGCTTTCCTGAGATTGAGATTAAGGATAGTGGACTAATTAATCTGATAGAATAAATTTCAAAGCAGTCTAACGTTGAGGTGGTGGCATGGCTGTTGTTGGGGGCTTTTAACCAGAGCTGTGTTGCAAATTGAGATCAAAGAGCCCAGCAGAATTATTTCAGACACTGAGAGTTTGACTAGAAAGGAAGTTTCAATAAAGTTATGGACTACAAAGGTAGAGCTGAGGAGAGCTCCACTGCTGGGAAGGAGAATATAAAAGATGGCCTGAGGGCATCACAAGAAGGAGCAGGGCTCCACTCTTTGCAGCCTCAAAACTGCAAAAGCAAGAGATTTTGCTTTGAAGAGAAAACCACAAAGTATCCATGTTCCAGAATGGTAGCAGCACAGAAAATTTTTTCCTCAGAATTGGATTCAGAGTCCCCAGCAATCCAGGCACTCAACCACTTCAGTCAAGAGAGAGAAAAGCCTTCAGCTGGCAGCAGACCTTGGCATCATCCACATGGTGTCAATTTTAGATGCATGCAGAATATAAGAGTTTTGGTGTTAAATAGACTTTCACCTTGATTTCAGAAGAAGGGAAGGCCTAGGAGGTCAAGCAATGTGAAGATGTGAGTGTGAAATCATAGGTGCAGTGGCTAACCCTAACCCTAACCCTAACCCTAACCCTAACCCTAACCCTAACCCTAGTGACCATGAAGTTGATATTGGAGACTGGATGTGCCCGTGAGAAGGTGAACTGATCCCAGAGTTAGGCAGACTCCTTATCTATCCAGTCACAAGCTGAGTTGAAAATATCATTATCCCCAGAGCAGCCCATCTTATCTATAGGTGGGCAGGCAGTTCCTGGGAAAGGGGTGTATTATGGTATTCAAATCCTGCAGGTTGCAGCAAGCTCGCCAGATTTCACAAGTCAGCCTTCTCAGAAGCAGAGAGAGCCCATAAATTTTCTGAAAACACACCTGCTGCTCCACAAGATACAGCATGAGGGGACAGAAGCGGTTTGTAGGGAAAAGACTTGCTTGTCTCGAGCAGTATAACATGCAACTTAGCCTTTCCACTTCCACATGCTCTGTACCTGGTAAAGAATGACAAGGAAGCAAACATTTATGAGAAATTTTTATACCCAGTTTTTACTAAATGTATAAATAACACTTCAAAGATGTTAAGACACATACTGTACTGCATTTGAGTGATTCTAAGAAGTGTATTCCATCACATGTTAACCTCTTACACATTGGGATATGTTTTTTTACTGGTGGGAACACAAAATAACAGGCTGATTTTCCCCTTCTCTATAATATGTAAAATAATGACCATCTTACAACTCACACTGTCTTAGATTCAATAAAGAGAAGAAATAACAGAACTGGAATTTGTCACCTAGAATATGATTCCAAACTTCAGATTATTTTCTGGCAAACAATTATATTTTTCTTAGTGGCCAGAAGCTGTTTTATTTATTTACTTATTTATGGTTTATTTAACTGGAATGATTTAGGAATATACAATAATCAAATTCACTAGGGAGAAGTTGTACCTGCACATGATATATCCTGATTCCTCTATTTTTTCCCTGTTTTCATTCCCTCCTTTCAAACCCTGTTTTCCTTCCCATTTACAAAGCTCTGTTTTCACAGATGGCCAACAATAATTTTTACCTGAAAGATTCAACCAATTAAGGGAATACACATTGCATATGCTGCAAAAATTATTTCCTTCTTCCCACATGCCACTTATTGCCATGCAGTTTTGAATTTTGGTTTCATTTGACCAAATTTCTATAGAATTATGCTTCTTAAGAGCATAATTCCTTGTCATCCTGTGAACTGAGGCTGCTTAATGATTTCTGTTGAAGTGGGCTGATTAAAAAAAACACTTATAGTTACAGCTGCAGCAATGGTAGCCAAGCATCTCTGCAGCTGGGCCTTATTAGAAAAGAAGGCCAAGGCTACTCATGTTTCCTTATGTAAATTCAGCCTTTAGTGGATGTGATGGGGAAAGGCCTGGGAATTTTTTATTGCTCAAGACCACTTCATCTCACAATTGAGAAATATGGGAAACAACTGGAGTGATATTTTGTTTAATAGTTGATTTCTCAAGCAATACTTCTTTGAAATCTTTTAAATTCAACAAATCTGCTATGTCTATTTTATGTAAAGTGTGAGTTATGGTTCCAGATGTTTCAGAGAGTAAGTTATGCTACACGAATAACCTAAGGAGTCACTTCTGACGATAAACAGAGATTAGAGAGGTTCAGAGATGTGCTCATACAAGGGGAAGAAAATCACCTATGTAAAAGACAATTTGAAAATGCCTCATGGAAGCAATGGTGAAGCTTTGAAATCTTGGGAAAGTGTCTTCTCAAGTAGAGCCGATACTGATACTTCTGGGTGCCAAAAATGGCAGCCTAGGCTATTCTGAGGTACAGTCCCAGAGATAATGATTTAAAACGCTTTACATACTATTTCTGAAAATCATTTAGAAGTGAACTAGCTGAAAAACATGTAAAGAATCATTTAAAATTTAAGTAAAGTCAGAAGTCCAGATGAAAAATGGAACATGAAAAGCTACTTTGTCTCTACAGACATTGGCTAATTCTTCCAAATTTGACTTTAATTTTGTTTGGCCACCTGTGACACCCAGTGTAGTAGAAAATTGCTTTCCATAAGTTCACAACCCAGGAAGCCAAAGAGAACACTTTAAAGAAGAATCAGGTGACCCCCAGCCCTCAAACACATTTCATATTAGATCATAAGTCTATGTAATATTAAACTTGAAACTGCAAGATTTAACAAACTTTTACTGGAAATGATTTGAAGTACAACTAACTTTGATAAAAGCCATAAGCGATATATCAATATACTTTATTTGTAGTAAAGAATAAAACAAAAATCTTGCAGAAACTTAGAACTTTGTGTGTGTTATGTGTATATTTTGGTAGCAACATAAATTGACAGTTTTACTAGAGTAAGTACACATTTATTTAAGTGGCTCCTTTAATGCCTGACTTTGTAATTTTCTCAGTTATGAAACTAGTTGGACACTTAAGAATTTCCAGTCACATTTTTCCTTGTCACTTTTTTTTCTTGCTATAGGACAGTTTTTAACAATTGTATGATGACTATTAAATCATTCCAAATAATTTCTGTCTTCACAATATACTTATCATGAATCAATGTCCTTTGAGGATTTAAAGAAAGGTTTCCAAGGGAGTATTGTGGGATTCTCCCAGTTATTTGAACACTTATAAAGATCATTCATGGTGTAGCCAGTGTCATTATTTATTGAAAATTACAAGCACCTTATACTAGGACCAAAGTTTTTCTTTTCTTTCTAGACCATCTTGGACTTTCTGCTCCCTAGTCGCTAAGGAGTGCCCATCCTGTGATCTTTTCTAAACTTGTCTCTGATAAAGTCATGGATTTTAATTGCCATCTGAGCCAGTGATTTTCCAATGGTAAAGGCCTCTCCCCATTACTGAGCAAAGCAATCATGTGTGCAGTTGTTCAACATATCACAGGCTTAGATGTCAGGCATCTTAAATAGTACATGTCTGAGGAAGAAATCTAGACCATACTCCACACAAACCCATTTATTTCTAGCTTTTTTGCAGTAAAAGGAATCACATTCATTTATTTGCTAATCTGAAAGCTATGATGCCAATCTTGATTCTTCATTGTTTTCTTCAAACAAACACTAAATCTGTTAGCAACTCTAGACTCTGTCGTTAGCATATCTAGTTGCTGGAAGCCTCTCATACCCTCCACAGCTCTCCTGAGTCACAGCCAATACTGCTGTCTGGCATACCTCACTTACAGACATCAAACTCGTCTGTTGCCCTCTGTGCCTGCTAGCCATCCTCCCTGCATGTTCTCTACCTTGTTGCCAAAGTTGCTTTTAAAAAGTATTTTAGGACCCCAAGTGGCCAGGAAGCTGCCTGCACCCTGTGTCACTAGCTGAAAGCCTGCACAGCAATCTGCATCCACCTCTGCAACTTCAGCACCTTGCTTGGAAACTGGTGGGGCCCCACCCAGCATCCTCAACCACCAGAGGACCTTTGGCACGTCCTCTGAAGCCTGGTTGGGCCCCACCAAGGGATCCCCAGTGACTAGAGAGCCACCTGCACTACATGCTGGGAGCCAAAAGCCTGCACAGAGATATCCTTCCAGCTTTGCAACCTCAGCACCTAGCTGGGTGCCTAGTGGGGCCCTACCCAACATCCTCAATCATCAGAGGACCCACAGGTAGGTCCCTCAGGGCCTGGTGAGGTCCTGCCCAGGAACCCCAGTGGCTAGCAAGCCACCTGCACTTCATGTCACAACCAAAAGCTTACACAGTGAGCCCCATCTAGCCATGCAACCTTGGCACATTGCTCAGAGCCTGATAGGGCACCACCTAGTGATCCCAAGCAGCTGTGAAGCTTTGATCCCTCATGCAGCATGAGCTTATGGCTCACACACGTACTTCATCTAACTGTTCAGCCTTGGTATGCCACCGAGAGCATTGTAGACTCCCGCCCTGCCTCCTCAAGCAGCTGGGGAGCTTCAGAGTACCGTGTGTTGTGTGCTCAAGGCCCACCCAAAATATACCCCACATTTGAGGAACCTACTTGTTCCCCTAGGGACCTGGTAAGGCCTGACTAATGACCTCCACTCAAATGGCGAAACTCCCTGGAGTATGCACAGATATTCTCAACCCAGGAAACAACTGAGAACTTGCATTCAGCTGCCTCAGGGGAATACAGGAGAATGACAAAATGAAAGAGCAAAATGCAACCTCAAAACTCCAGCCTATCCCAAACAAGCCTGGGAGAAGACATGGACATAGAAGAAAATGTAAGCCATATACCTGAAATGTTTGCAATGATAGCACCTGAAGTGAAGAAACAACTCCAGGAAGCTATAAAGGAACTCAGAACACAAATAATTTCCCAGGTAAAAGAAGAAATGATAAATATAGTAAAAGTAATGCTGAATACACCTAAAGAAGATATAGTATAAAAAACTGAGGAGCACTGCAAAAAGATGGAAACCTTGAATGAAGAAAGAAACAGAATGCATGAAACGGATTCAAAGATGTATCCAGGAAATCAACAATTCTATCAAAAGTTGACAAAACTGCCTCAATGAAAGTGAAGACAGACTTTCAGACCTTGAAAACAAGATTGCAGCTAGTGAACAGGAAAGGAAAGATCTTTTTAAAATAACAAGGAATCAGAAAATAATAATTCAACAGTTGCAAGATGATGCAAAAAAAACCAACATAAGATTGATAGGTGTAAACAAAAAAGAAGACAACACAAATGATACCAAAAGACCATTTACAGAAGTATTAGCCCAAAATTTTCCAAACTTTGGAAAGGAAACTGACATACAGATAAGTGAAGCACAGATAACTCCAAATAGATAGAACCAAAATAAAAGTACACTCACATATAATAATCAACATCCCTGAAATTCAGCATAAGGACAGAATATTAAAAGCTCTTAGAGAGAAGAGACAGATCAACTATAAAGGAAAACCCATGAGAATCATAGCAGACTTCTCAACACAAAAAATGAGGTCAAGAAGAGCACAGAAAGAAGTATTTCAAATCCTAAAGGAAAATAAATTTCAACCAAAATTGATGTACCCTGCAAAACTGTTCTTCAAAATTGACAGAGAAATAAGATACTTTTATGAAAAAAAAAAACAACTGAAGAATTTCATGACCACCAAACCAATCATGCAAAGAATACTGAAAGATATTCTAGATAGACACAAAAATAACTACAACTTTAAGAACACCAACAGAAAAAAACCACTAAGCAGGGCAAACAATGAAACAAACAGGAAAGATAAAGAACCAACAGCAGAAAGATAATATGCCAAAAATAAACCAACATATATCAGTTATAATCATTAATATAAGTGGCCTTAATTCACCAATTAAAAGAAACATACTGGCAGAATGGATCAAGAAACAACATCCAACCATATGCTGTATACAAGAAATCCATCTCACCCAAAAGGAAATTCATAGACTGAAAGTCAAAGGATGGAAAACTATACTTAATGCAATAGGAACCTCCCAAAAAAGCAATAGTAGCTGTTTGGTTTGTGGACAATGTGAACTTCAAACCAAGAATGATCAAAAGAAAAAAATGGCTACTACATACTAGTTAGGGGAAAACTTCAAGAGGAAGAGATAACAATCTTAATATATATGTACCAAATTTGGGAGCACTCCGCAGTATAAAACAGATATTAATAGAAATGAAAAATTGAATAAGCAATAACACAATTATAATGCAAGATGTTAACATCCCATTGACACAGACAGATGAACAGACAGAAAATCAGCAAAGAAATAACAGAACTGAATCACACTTGTGAATAAATGGGTTTAGTGGATGTG